GTCTGTACCAGGTTGGAGAAACCCACAGAAACAGTTGGCCTGAACAAGGGAGAGCACATCGACCCCAGATGCTGTCTGGGAGGCAGTACAAGACTGATCCAGACCCCTCAACATGGATGCCAATAAGGAGGCCTCTGCACTCCAGGGAGCCTCTGGGCAAGAATAATAAAATGAAAAACTTGTGGATAAAACCAAGACTGATCCAGACCCCTGAACATGGATGCCAATAGGAGGCCTCTGCACTCCAGGGAGCCTCTGGTGGTGGATTAGTATTTTTCCCTGGTGCAAGAAGGGACTTTGAGAGCCCATCCCATGTGAAGGGTTACCTTACATGTGAAACAAGCTTGTTCCCTAACTTGAACTAATAAAAAAAATAAAATAAAATAAAAAGTTGCTGAGCCTCTTACAATCTTGGACGGTGTTTCTAGATGACAGTGGCTGAGAAACAGCACAGCTCGGTGTTATTCCAGGAAAATGACTCAGCCAGCCTGCTTCTGCAGCCTGTTCGGGGCCCTTGCACACCATGGCCTTTATGAAATCGATGGCAGAAATATTAGCTGTCACTTCCCATCTGACTGGAGCAGCAGGGGCACCATGTGTGCCCCGATGGGTCCCCGTTTGTCAGCTTAACACACCATAAAAAATAAAACAGTGACACGCCATGCTGAGGGCAGGTTTCTGGTCCAAGAAGGACACTGAGTGACTATAGGCACTGCGGCAGGAGTCGTGTGTGCTTGTCTAATCTGTGACCACAGTAACCCCAGCGGGGTCCCTCTGCTTGGCTCCCAGGTCACTCAGGCTCTCTTCTGTGAGCATGCTGTTCCTGGAGCTATGACTGAGGGACTGTGAGCCTAGGACTGGGTTGCAGTGACAGCTGGGGGCAGGGGGGGTACTGCCCAGCATATCACAGCTCCTGCGACTTGACTATTGAATAAATTAACAGAGCCCTCAGCTAACTGACCATCCCAGCCTCCCGGATAGGGTACCAAATGCCTGCTTGCTGGCCTGGAGGGGCACACCCATGATGGTTAGCAAGGGCCAGGTGGCTGTCCACTCCGGACACCCCATCATCATCGTGAGACCAGCAAGGCTTTGGGAGGCCCTCACTCCTAAGTAACTGCTCCCCCACCTGACCTCTGGCTACTCATCCTTCTCCACCCACCCTGGCCTCCCTCGAGGTCCCATCTCCAGGTCCCATCTCAGGCTTCTAGAAATGAGTTGTTTCCAACCGTGTCTGCTTCCAGACGCTCATTGATTTTAGCCTTTGTTGTCCTAGCTTCCTGTCACAACCACTTATTGCAGGTGATGGATAGGAGCTCACCCTGCACTAACCTGCCTCTTAAAAGCCGCCCGTGGCAGATGCGGCACACGGCCAATGGCTCAGAGAGGGCTGTGGGCATGGGAGGCCTCTCTCTTCACTCCACAGGGGGTAGGTGGCTGTGGACCCAGCAGGCTTGGGTCTAGCTAGCCGCCTTTTCCTCACACTTGCTGGTGTGGCAGTCTGGAACTCACTACAGCTCTGAGGCCTTGTTCAGCCCAGCACCCCCAGCATGAAACTGGTGAGCAGACTCTCTGTGGCCCCGCCTCCCTAGCTGTTCTAGAGGCTTCCATGGTTGAGTTTAATGGTGAGGTGATGGAAGGAGACCATGGTCTTCCTGAGCTCCCAGCCCTGGTCGTACAGGCGTTGTCTGCCTTCCTCAGGTTCGCCTCTGTTCCATCCACTCCTCACTTCTGACTTTGTACCCCAGGACTATCCAGAGAAGCCGACCCGTGTGGGGCGTTCATGATGTAATCTGCTTGAGGAGCTGGCTCACAGGGTTGTCTGGAACGAGTCCCAGGCTGGAAACATTCAGGAGTGGAGGCTGCAGATAGAGGCAGAGTCTCCTCCCTTAGAGACCTGTCTGGCCCTCATGTTCCCCTCACAGGCCACACCCACCTATCACAGACAGTGGCTCACTCAAAGCCCCCTGGCCAGAAGTTCAGCGTATCTATGAACCATCCTGTCTCCACAGCAGCAGACTGATGTGTGTAAACAAGTATCTGGGCACTGTGGCCCAACCATGGGAACAGCCAACTGTTTGTGATGCCAGGGTCCCACCCTTACCAGCAGGTCTCCAGGCAAGCATTCGCCTAGGTTTCCCTGAATCCAACTGTCCTGTGGAGCCCTCGCTATGGGGATGCCCCTGAACTGGGACCTCCTCCAGGGGCAACTGAGTGATGAGGTGCAGAGATCCCACCCTGTAGGTGAGGAGGTTGAGGCCAGAGGAAGTGCTATGCAGGTTGAAGTTGCCCTGCTGGGCAGGGCAGAGGCACTAAGGTGGCAGAGCCCTAGCTGGAGATCCTGGTGCATCTGGAGCGACATCAACACCACCTTCCACTGCTTACCCAGCCTGGCTCACCGCATTTGTTGATGAAGTAACGGAAACTCAAGAGAAGCTCACCAGTCCAGGAAGCCTCCGAGCTTAGTTACCTGGGCACCCTCACACGTGGGGCACAGCTGGCTGTCCACTCCCACACCTAACACTACAGCGCCAGCACAGGCCACCTGACAACTACCCTTAATCTGGAGTCTCTGTGACCCCACTGGCTGGGGAGGGGGTGGTGTCCACTCATCTGCCCACATTCTTGCCTGAGCGGGGGAGGGAGTCACAGGGGCTGAAGGCTGCTTTGCACCAGGGGACCTCGGGGCCCAAGCCTCCCCTGATCCACATCCTGCAGCGCAGTTTCCTCATCTGCTGCTACATCCTCAAGTCCACCGTTGTCCCCCACCCAAGGCAGAACTATGTGGCTAACGTGTTCCACGCCACGAGATGAATATGATCCTGGCTGATCATTGAGAGAAGGGGGAAATGGGACATGAGGATTGTCTACTCTAACACAGACTCAAGTCCCGCCCCACCGCCAGAGCAGAAGGCAGCCCGCCGCAGGCCCAGGCATGGGGGAAGCCAGGGAGGCATGGAGGAGAAAGGGCTCTCGTGGCCTCCCGTGGCTGTGTAGGTCACTCAGGAGATAGTCCAAGACAAGAAGCACTGACTTGAAAAACCCTGAACCTCTTAACGGCTGAAGCCTTCGGTCAGACTGGAACCCCTGCAGCTTCGGCCTGAGCATGGGCATGCCAGATGCTGCACTGCACCTGTAGGACTTGAGGAAAACGGCAAGAGGCTTCTTTGGACTCTGAGAGACTCTTTGGGGGAGACAGATTGCAAGTTTGAGTGGACACTGGGGCATATTGACCAGAAAACACAACTCCCCGAGAAGGAGGAATGTGCACCCACTGGGTGTAAGAGGGGCAGGGAGCCTCGGCAGACAGTGGCGCGGGACAGACACTGCTCATCACCACCTGCCTGGTGCTGTTTCCTTCTCTCCCAGCAAGACATGCAGAGCAAGCCACGGCTCCAGCCTCAGGAGCAACATCACAGCCAGAAGGCAGCAGACCCCCCCTCAATCACCCCAGCAGGACGAACCCCAGAAAACATCAGAAGAGACTCTGCAGAAGTCAAGTGTTTCATTCAATAACTTAAAAAAAAAAGCAGATACAAAAGAATTCCAGTATAAAATACATAGCAAATTAAAATATATTATGTTCATACTAAATCTGGTAAGAAAAGCATAATTTTATCTTTGGGGATGACTTACACAAGACAATTTGTTCTAGACGGTGACAGCCTGAGAGTCATGAGGAGTAACGCAGCCTTGCGTGTGCCATGGGCAGGGTGGGGTCACTGCTGCGGCCACCTGGAGGCCTCATTCCCTCACAGGATTAGAGTCTCAGCTCAGCTTAGCTGCCATGACCAGGAACACCTCCTCTCTCCACCTGGCCAGCTCCACAGGCCACGCAGGACCGTCCTGAGTCACAGAGACTGCGAGGCTAGGAGGGGTTTGGGGGGGGCACTCAGGAATGGGCCCTGGCCACACGGCTGTGCCCTCACTGGTAGAGGACCTTCACACAGAATGCCTCTTCGTTCTTGTCCTCATGGTCATTGATGTAGATCAGGATCTCCTCCTGCCCGGTGCTACCACTTGGCAGGAACCTCAGGCCAATGGTGTAGGTCTCTCCTCCTGCCACCTGCAAGAGCACAGCAATTTCAATATTCACCCGGGCTTCCGCTCTTCTGCAGCAGCTTCTAGGACTGTGTGACATGCGTGAAACACTCTTCACCTATGGCACATCCAGGCTTGTGGGAGACCCAGCACCTGGATCAACAGAGGCTGTGAGGACCAGGCAGGCCCACACCTGCCTAAGGCTGCTGCAGCTTGGTGCAGACTCAGGACAGTGGGGAGAGCCGGGTGGCGCCCCTTGCCTAGACACCGCTCTGGTAATGGGCCCACTCAACCCACTAACAGACCGCCCCCTCAGTAGGCCCTGTAGATGGCCCCCTCAGTAGGCCCTGCAGACGGCCCCCTCAGTAGGCCCCACAGACCGCCTCCTCAGTAGGCCCCACAGACGGCCCCCCCTCAG